GTGGAGAAAAAGCACAATGGATAGATTTCAGAGACAAAGTATTACCATTATTATTATTATTTTTTGTCAGAGTCTTGCTCTGTTGCCCAGGCTGGATTACAGTGGTTTGATCTCCTGCCTCAGTCTCCCAAGCAGTTGGGATTATGGAAGTGTACCACCACACAGGCTCATTACTGTATTTTTAGTACAGATGAAGTTTCACTGTGTTGGCCAGGCTGGTCTGGAACTCCTGACCTCAGGTGATCCGCCTGCTTCGGCCTCCAAAAGTGGAGGGATTATAGGCATGAGCCACCGTGCCCAGCCAATGATGTGGATTTGACAAAATTTGGTGATTGATTGGGGAAGAGCCAAGGATAATGTTTGGTTTTCTATTGGATTATAGTATTATTCTCTGAAATAGAGAACTCTGGAAGAGGAACAGGTGTTTATTTCTTTATTTGTGTCGGGGTAAGGGTTGGGGGAGTTACGTGTGGAGGGAGGGAAAGTGTTCCCTTTGGACAATCTTTTTTTTTTTTTAAAGACAATCTTCTTCTGTTGCCCAGTCTGGAGTGCAGTGGCACCGTCTCAGCTCACTCCAACCTCTGTCTCCTGGGCTCAAGTGATCTCCCACCTCAGATTCCTGAATAACTGGGACTACAGGCCTGTGCCACCGCTTCCAGCTAATTTTTTAAGTTTTTTTTTTTGTTTGTTTTGTTTTGTAGAGATGGGGTTTTGCTATGTTGCCTAGGCTGGTCTCAAACTCCTGGGCTTGAGTGGTGCTCTTGCCTGTGCCTCCTAAACTGTTGGGATTACAGCCATGAGCCATCATGCCCAGCCCCTACTTTTTAATTTTTTTGAGACAGAGTTTCACTCTTGTTGCCCAGGCTGGAGTGCAATAGTGGGATCTCAGCTTACTGCAACCTCTGCCTCCCAGGTTCAAGCAGTTCTCCTGCCTCAGCCTCCCGAGTAGCTGGGATTACTGGTGCACACTGCCATCATGCCTGGCTAATTTTTAGTAGAGATGGGGTTTTACCATTTTGGCCAGGCTGGTCACGAATTCCTCACCTCCTGCCTTGGTCTCCCAAAGTCCTGGGATTACAGGCGTGAGCCAATGTGCTTGGACGACCCCTACTTTTTAAAGTAACAGCTCTGGGTTGAACATCCCAAATCTACAAATTAGAAATGCTCCAAAATTTGAAGGTTTTTGAGCCTCAAGATGATCCCCAAAATGCTCCAGTGAGCATTTTGGATTTTTGATTTTTGGGCTTGGGATGCTAAACTAGTAAATATAATGCGAATACTCCAAAATCTGAAAGAAATTTGAAATTCAAACTACTACTGGTTCTAAGCATTTTGGATAAGGAATCCTCAACCTGTAATAAAAAAACTTACTGTTCTCTCTTTAAGAGCAGTATTTGTTGGCTGGCAGTGGGTCACGCCTATAATCCCCGCACTTTGGGAGGCTGAGGCAGGTGGATCACAAGGTCAGGAGTTTGATACCAGCCTGGCCAACGTGGTGAAACCGTCTTCACTAAAAATATAAAAATTAGCCGGGCCCGGTGGCACATGCCTGTAGTCCCAGCCACTCGGGAGGCTGAGGCAGGAGAAACGCTTGAACCTGGGAGGCAGAAATTGCAGTGAGCCAAGATGGCACCACTGCACTACAGCCTAGGCAACAGAGCACAACTTCGTCTCCAAAAAAAAAAAAAGACATATTTGTTAATGTAGTTTCTCTTACATTCTCTCTGATGACACAGTGAGTTTCTTTTTTTTTTTTTTTTTTAATCATTTTTTGTGAAGATAGAGTCTCCCTATGTTGTTCAGGCTGGTCTTGAACTCCTGGGCTCAAGGGATCCTCCCACCTTGTCCTCCCAAATGTTGGGTGACAGGCCTGAGCCACTATGCCTTCTGGAGCTTCTTAAATATGGGTAAATAATGTGTTAGGATGTTATCAAGCTTTTTGAAAGTTTAAATAAGTCCATTTACTGATTCCTTCTCTATCCTTATTTTACTACCCATCCCCTCCACTCCCCTAGTGTAGCAGACAAAACCATCTTGTGATAATGCCCTATGGAAGCCATTCTTTTGCTCTTCTCTGGGTATAGGCTTGAAAATTTTTCAGTGATTGGATTTGCATAGCTGTATATGGAAGTCTGACTCAGGTTTTTACTCATACTATGTATTTTGTTTAATCACTTAGATATTAGCATCACCCCTGCAAAGGAAATGGATTTATTACTTCAATTTTAGCAGATCTGGAGAAAGATCCATAATGAGCAAAGGTGCTTATACTATTGGATTACTATTTTGGATTACCTGTGGTTTGTTCTTGTTTGCCTTTTTGCTGATTAAAACCCTGGAAAAATCTATATTCATTAAACATGAGGTCGGGTGCGGTGGCTCACACCTGTAATCCCAGCACTTTGGGAGATTGAGACAGGAGGACTGCTTGAGCCTAGCAGATCAAGACCAACCTGGACAACTTGGTGGGAACCCAACTCTGCAAAAGTTAAAAAATTTAGCTGGACATGGTGGTGTGCACCTGTAGTCCCAGCTACTCAGGAGGCTGAGGCTCAGGATTGCTTGGTCCCAGGAGGTCAAGGCTACAGTGAGCCATGATCCCACCACTACACTTAAGCCTGGATGACAGAGTGAGACCCTGTGTCAGAAATGAATAAATAGATAAAAATGAGCTAGGTGCATCGGTGTGCACCTGTAATCCCAGCTATTCAGCAGACTAAGGCAGGAGAATATCTTGAGCCCAGGAAATCAGGCCAGCCTGGACAACACAACAAGACCTTGTCTCTAAAAACAAAAATTAGAATATTTGTTTAGTTATTAGGTAGTATTATAGAGGAAGCTGTTTAAATAGTTTTATTTCAACCACTATAAAACGGATCACTTGGAATATACAGGTATTGTTCGCTAACTTTCTACTTAAGTCAGTTGATTTTCTTAAATAGCATCTGTTGCTTAGCATAAAAGTAAATTAGTTACTTGCCATTTGAATTTGAAAGCGACCAGCTGATGGTGAATTCTGGTTGGTTTTGTGTGGAAAATTAGTTGCTGTATTTATGCTACCAACTTGATGTTTTCTTTCCCACATCTCCCTCACGAAGATTTTAAGTGGCTAGTAAATGATCTTCTGAATGTAAGTTTTATTGAAGATATCATAGAGACTGGATAACTATTATATCAGAAGTACTTTTCAGAATACTTTTTTTTTTTTGAGACGTCATCTTGCTCTGTTGCGCAGGCTGGAGTGCAGTGGCGCGATCTTGGGTCCCTACAACCTTTGCCTCCCGGGTTCTAGCGAATCTCTGGTCTCAGCCTCCCAAGTAGCTGGGACTACAGGTCTCATTCTCCTGACCTCGTGATCCACCCACCTCAGCCTCCCAAAGTGCTGGGATTACAGGCGTGACCCACTGCGCCCAGCCACTTTTTTTTTTTTGAGACAAAATCTTACTCTTGTCGCCCAGGCTGCAGTGCAATGACACAATCTTGGCTCACTGCAGCCTCCTTCTCCTGGATTCAAGGGATTCTCCTGTCTCAGCCTCTCGAGTAGCTGGGATTACACGCGCCTGCCATCACGTCCGGGTGATTTTTGTGTTTTTAGTAGAGATGGGTTTCACCATGTTGGCCAGGCTAGTCTCAAACTCCTGACCTCGACCGCCTCAGCCTCCCAAAGTGCTGGGATTCCAAGTATGAGCCACCACACCTGGCCTTTTCGAAATACTTCCATATTTTATGAAATTTATTTTTCAAACCAGGGGTATCCAATCTTTTGGCCACATTAGAAAAAGTATTGTCTCAAGCCACACATAAAATACACTAACACTAACAATAGTTGATTGGCAAAAAAAAAACACACACAAAACTCAGGATTTTTTTTTTTTTTTTTGAGACGGAGTTTCACTCTTGTCTGCCCCAGGTTGGAGTGCAGTGGGATGATCTCAGCTCATTGCAACCTCCACCTCCCGGGTTCAAGTGGTCCTCCTGCCTCAGCCTCCCGAGTAGCTGGGATTTTAGGCGCATGCCACCACACTCAGCTAATTTTTGTATTATTAGTAGAGACGAGGTTTCACCATGTTGTCCAGGCTAGTCTTGAACTCCTGACGTCAGGTGATCCACCTGCCTCGGCCTCCCAAAGTGCTGGGATTACAGGCGTGAGCCACCATGCCCGGCCAACTCATACTGTTTTAAGAAAGTTTATGAATTTGTATTGGGCTGTGTTCAGAACCGTCCTGGGTCGCAGGTTGGACAAGCTTGTAAACACTGAGAAGGAACAGTTGTTTCCAAGATGGCTGTAGGGCTGTGGGTAAATGGATCATTAACATACGCTCAAGTTTATTCCAAACTGCCTGTGAGACTGTGGCCTAGTCATCTCATCTTACTGTAGACCGATTTTTTTTTTTTTTTAATGGAGGTACGGTGGACTGATTCTTAAACTTGCAGACTATCTTGAGTTTTCTAAAAATTTCACTTACCTTACATTGTTATTTCTTATGACTTGTGTTTTAATTTATCTTTACTTTTCCTTATGAAGTTTTAGTACAGTGTAAGTCTTGTGTAATGAAACTTTGGTGAATTGAGGAAATCACATTTGTACTAAAATACTAATTTTTTTTTGTAAAACATGAAAAACCATTCTTATTTTTAATTTTTATATTTTGTGGAGGCGAGGTCTCACCATGTTGCCCAGGCTGGTCTCGAACTCCTGGTCTCAAATGATTTTCCCACCTTGGCCTCCCAAAATGCGATTAGAGACGTGATCATCCCAGTCTGTAAATCCGATGCAGTGCGCCCAGCCCATGATGATCCATTCTCATTATACTTCAGTCATAGTCATTTTGCTTTGGGCCCTGATTCCACTTGAAGACCCTGATTCCATTTTTATGTTCTCATGCTACACATTTTAAATAGGATACTGCAGCTTTTTTTTTCTATATATAAGTATCATACGGGTATGGGTTAGTTGTTTCTGTTGGTTGCATATTGTTTTCCTGAACTACTGCCAACAGAGAGTATGAAGCCCGCTTAGAAAGGTACAGTGAGCGCATTTGGACGTGCAAGAGTACTGGAAGCAGCCAGCTAACACACAAGGAAGCCTGGGAGGAGGAACAGGAAGTTGCTGAGCTGTAAGTAATAGAAGCATTGCCCTTTGGCACCATCTTCACATTGTTAGGGAAGGAGGGAATATTAACTCTAAAGCAGTATTTGTATTTAAATTTATAGGGCACAAATTAGAATATATTACATTAGTGTACTGTATGGGTTTCTGGGTTCCTTTGCCTAATGGCATTTTGTTAGTAGCAACGTGTGGAATATTTATTTAGTTATATGAGTACTTATTTAGGTATTTACCAGGCCTTTGAGTGTTTCTGCTCCATTCTTTCACCTTGTAAGTACGCTGGAAATGTAGTCTATTTTTATTTTTATTTATTTATTTATTTTTGAGACGGAGTTTCGCTCTTCTTGCCCAGGCTGGAGTGCAATGGCGCGATATCGGCTCACCGCAACCTCCGCCTCCTGGGTTCAGGCAATTCTCCTGCCTCAGCCTCCCGAGTAGCCGGGACTACAGGCACGCGCCACCATGCCCAGCTAATTTTTTGTATTTTTTTAGTAGAGATGGGGTTTCACCATGTTGACCAGGATGGTCTCGATCTCTTGACCTCGTGATCCACCCGCCTCGGCCTCCCAAAGTGCTGGGATTACAGGTGTGAGCCACCGCGCCCGGCTGTCTATTTTTATTTTTGAGATGGAGTCTCGCTCCCTTGCCTAGGCTGGAGTGCAGTGGCACGATTTCGGCTCACTGCAACCTCTGCCTCCTGGGTTCAGGCAATTCTCATGCCTCGGCATCCCGAGTAGCTGGGAGGCCAAGGCGGGCGGATCACAAGGTCAGGAGATCGAGACTATCCTGGCCAACATGGTGAAACCCTGTCTCTACTAAAAATATAAAAACATTAGCTTGGCATGGTAGCGCATGCCTGTAGTCCCAGCTACTTGGGAGGCTGAGTCAGGAGAATTGCTTGAACCCAGGAGGTGGAGGTTGCAGTGAGCCAAGATCGTGCCACTGCACTACAGCCTGGGCGACAGTGTGAGACTCTTGTCTCAAAAAAAAATAAAAATTAAAATTAAAAGAGGGTACATGCAGTGGTGCATGCGTTTGATCCCAGCTCCCTGAGATGCTGAGGCAGAAGGATCGTTTGAGCCCAGGAGGTGAAGGCTAGTGAGCTATGATTGTATCACTGCACTCCAGCCTTGGTGACAGAGTGAGAAATGTTTGAAATGTTTGGAAAAGAAAGGAAGAAATGTTTGAATTGACTCGAATTAAATCTCTGGATAAGTTTTTCTGTGTTTTCTTGATAACTAATAACATTTATTTAGTTTGAAGGAGGAGTTTCCTGCCTGGTATGAAAAGCTTGTTCTGGAAATGGTTCACCATAACACAGCCTCCTTAGAGAAGTTAGTGGATACTGCTTGGTTGGAGATCATGACCAAATACGCTGTGGGAGAAGAGTGTGACTTTGAGGTGAGTGCCTCTTTTTTCTAATTTGACTTACCATCGGAATTAGAGCTGCCAATGTAACACATTTCTGTGTATATAAAATTATGTTATATTTAATATCAAGTATTAACACTTTTTGTTAATACGTGTGTGTGTGTGTGTGTGTGTGTGTGTGTGTGTGTGTGTGTGTGTGTGTTTTGAGGTGGAGTCTTGCTCTGTTGCCCAGGCTGGAATGCAGTATGCCGTCTTGGCGCACCGCAACCTTGGCCTTTTGGGTTCAAGTGATTCTCCCACCTCAGCCTTCTGAGTAACTGAGACTGTAGGCGCCCGCCACCATACCCAGGTAATTTTTGTATTTTTGGTAGCAATGGGATTTCATCATGTTGGTCAGGCTGGTCTTGAACTCCTGACTTCAGATGATCGACCCACCTTGACCTCCAAAAGTGCTGGGATAATAGGCGTGAGCCACGGTGCCCAGCCTCATACTTGATATTAGTAGTTAATATCAAGTATTCTAAGGACTACCTTTTATTTTTATTTATTTGTTTAGAGTCAGGGTCTTGTTCTGTTACACAGTCTGGAGTGCAGTGGTACAGTCATAGTTCACTGTAGCCTTGGATGGCTTAGCTTAAGCCATCCTTCCACCTCAGCCTTTGGAGTAGCTGGGACTGCAGGCATATGCAGTCTCCTGGCCTTGAACCAAATTTTAGAACCACATTCATTACTAAGAGTGTTTTAGTATTGCAATAATTGCTACGCTTTGTTGTACTAGTGAGTGCTTCCTCCTTGCTTTGTCTTTTTCATCCTTTTTTGGTAATGCTGTTTTGCCTTTTTGGTTTTGATTTTTCTTTTTTTTTCTTTTCTTTTTTTTTGGAGACAGGGTTTTACTCTGTTACCCATGCTGGAATAGTGCAGTGACGTGATCTTGGCTCACTGCAGCCTCCACCTCCCGGACTCGAGCAATCCTCCCACGTCATCCTCGATGTAGCTGGGACCACAAGTGTGTACTACCATGCCTAGCTAATTTTTTTTTTAGACGGAGTTTTGCTCTTATTGCCCAGGCGGAGTGCAATGGCGTGATCTTGGCTCACCGCAACCTCCGCCTCCCAGGATCAAGTGATTCTCCTGCCTCAGCCTCCTGAGTAGCTAGGATTACAGGTGTCTGTCACCATGCCTGGCTAATTTTGTATTTTTAGTAGAGATGGGGTTTCTCCATGTTGGTCAGGCTGGTCTCGAACTCCTGACCTCAGGTAATCCACCCACCTCTGCCTCCCAAAGTGCTGAAATTATAGGCGTGAGCTACTGTGCCTGGCCGTACCTGGCTGATTTTTTGTGTATTTTATAGAGACTGGATTTCACCATGTTGCCCTGGCTGGTCTCTAACTCCTGAGCTATTCTCCCACCTTGGCCTCCGAAAGTGCTGAGATTACAGTCATTAGCCATTGTGCTCCGCCCGTGCAGTGGCCATGCTCATCTTCTCCGTATCATTCCAGTTTCATTGTATGTGCTGGCAAAGTGAGCACATAATTCTTACTATGTTTAAAAGACTTTCAGACATGTTTAATCCAAATCCTCACTATAATGAGAGGTGGCTTTTTTCTTTTTCTACTTAGATTTGTTTTTTAATTATCCTGTCAAAAAACTATTACAAAAGTGATACCTAATACTAAAGCAATCCCTATGTAATCTTGTGAAAGCTGAAAGTAAGATTCAGGAGAAAGAAGTAAACAGTTGTTAAATATCTATCTGTATGTACTTGACACTGAGCTAATTTCTTTACATAATGTCTTGCAGAATTTGCACAAAAATCTTAAGGTGGTAGGCAGCCTTATGTATCTGAATGGTATGTCATGGTTGATACATATTAGTTAAGAGTGCTTGGGCCGGGCGCGGGCGCGGTGGCTCAAGCCTGTAATCCCAGCACTTTGGGAGGCTGAGGCGGGTGGATCACGAGGTCAAGAG